CTACATGTGATATTTGGGAACATTTGTTTGGTAGAAACTGAGGGTTGGGAAGGAAGTGATGACAAAGATATTAAACTCAGAAAGTATATATTGTAGCATCAATGATGCTGTTTCAGTGGGCAGTATACAGTAGACAAATATGTACCTCTGAGATTGAAATTCCCTATTTTTATTATGAAAGAGCAAACAGCCCAGGAACACCCTAAAGGAAAGATCAGACGTGTTCAAAAGATGTAATTTGGAAATTTAGCAAGTCCATTTCTAACTAGAAAAATCAAAGGGTGAGCATAACCAACTCCAATACCTCAATTTTGGACACTCCAAACCAAGAAAAGGCTTTATTTGAACCTGTGTTGACCTCTCATGATTTTCTGTTCACTGCTCACAAGTTCAGTGATGAGAGGGGTCATGTGCTGTAATCAGCTTTTTACTTCGTTTCATATTTACTTCATTGGCACATTGTGTAACTTCAGGTCAGGTTGCCTCTAGAGAGAGATTTCACATTTAATGCATCCGTGTCACCATGGTAACATCAAGGAGGTGGAGAATGGATGCTCTGCTGGATGCCATCCAAGCAACAGAGCGGAGATGGAAGAGTTTTTATTTTAGCTGATGGCACAAAAAGAGTTAGGCAGGAGCAAAGAAAAAACAAAAATGTTTTAGAAAAAGAAAACTTTTCTTCCAAAAGAAGAATGATGAGATTGGTACCAAGGTGTCAGGGCAAGGTAGGGTGATACGAGGTGAATTTCACCATGGGTTAGATCTGAATTCAGGGTCTGGAATGAACAACCAAAATGAAAAATCCTGGAGAGTGAGGAATAAGACGATAATGAAATCTACCACGTAAACATCTGTATTGTTGTTAGTGGCCATCACACTTTTGGAGACCCATAGACAACAGAATGAAACAGTGCTTAGTCCTACCCCATCTTCTGATTTTTTTATATGCTCATATTCATTGTTGATGCCACTGTGTATTTTTCGGCTGAGTGAGGGGACTTGTCTTCCAGTTCCATATTGCACAGGATTCTGTTGTGATCCATACGATTTCCATTAACTAATTTTTGAAAGTAGATAGCCAGGCATTTCTTAGTCTGTCAAGTCTGTATTGGTCTGGAAGTTCCACGATCATGGGTGAGTTTCTGGCATCATAGTAACATGCAAGCCACCACAGTATGACAAACTGAGAGGTGGTAGAACATCTATATTAGGTCCACAAAATGGACCCCTTAATTTTTTGGGAATAATGACAGATTTCTGAAGTGAAGAAAACCTACAAGGAATTGAGAACTGGGACCATCTGTACCCAAAATATCTTTCATATTGGGATGTGTTTGTAATCATGTATTTGTAGTATGATACTCTAAATTAACAACAAAGAATAAATACTCCCCAGGTACTAAAAGCAATAGAGAAGGCTGATATCCTTTTTGTATTCCAATTCTATTAAAAAAAGATGAGAAAGCCTCAAGCAGGGAGGAAGTAAAAAAGGATGGAAAGAGAGAAAGAAGGGTATATACGGTAGTTGTTGTTGTTAAGTGCCATCAAGTCGATTCCGAGTCATAGCGACCCTGTGTAGGGTTTCCAGGGAGCGGCTGGTGAGTTTGAATGCCAACCTTGCAGTTCAAACTGACCTTGAAGTCAAGTGCTTGTAGGGAGGGACTAAAAAGAGCATTTCTTGACTGCAATTGTTAGATGTCATAAAGTGGACTCAGTGACCTTATGTATGACAGATGAAACACTGTCTGCACCGTTCTCACAATTGTTGCTGTGTTTGAACTCATTGCTGTAAGCCACTGTCACTGAGGTTTTCCTTTATTTCTCTGACCTTCCACTTTATTAAGCATGATGTCCTTCTTCAGGGACTGGTCTCTCCTGATGACATGTCCAAAGTGTGTAAGATGAAATCTCCCTATTCTTGTTGCTAATGACCATTCTTATTGTACTTCTTCCAAGACAGATTTATCTGCTCTGTGACCCAAACCCCAAACCAAACCTACTGTCATCGTGTTGCTTCTGACTCATAGTGACACTGTATAGGGTTCCCAAGGCTGTAAATCTTCACAGGAGAAGACAGCCTTATTTTTGTCCTATGCAGTGACTGGTGAGTTTTTAATCTTACAGTGCCACTTGGGCTCCTTGTTCTTTTGGCAGCCTGTGGTCTATTTAATAATTTTTGCTAACACCATAATTCAAAAGCATCAATTCTTCTTTGGTTTCATTTGTATGTATATGAGGTGATTGAAAATACCATGACTTGGGTCAGGTACATATTAGTCTTCAAAGTGACATCTTTGCTTTATAACACTTTAAAGACATCTTTTGCTGCAGATTTGACCAATGCGATTTGTCATTTGATTTCCCGACTGCTGTTTCCATGAGTGTTGATTGTGGATCAAAGTAAAATGAAATCCTTGATAACTTCGATCGTTTCTCTGCTTATCATGATGTTGCTTATTGATCCAGTGGTGAGGATATTGGTTTTCTTTAATGTTGCAGTGGAGTCCTGGTGTGGCCCTGTAGGATAAGCACTCAACCACAAGGACAATTTGAGTCTCAAGGTCACTGGTTCAAATTCACCAGCTGCTTCTCAGAAGCGCTCTACAGAGTTGCTACGAGTTGGAATTGACTCCATGGCACTTAATACCAACATCCACATTGAAGACCGTAGTCTATACTCTTCATCACTAAGTACTTCAAATTCCCTTCAATTTCAGCATCTTGATCTTGAAGGTTACTGTGTATTATAAGGAGCTCTGGCAAGACAATAGTTAAATGCTCATTGTGAACCTAAACGTTGGAGTTTGGAATCCATCCAAAGGCTCTGCAGAAGAAAAATCTGGCAATCTATCTCTGTAAAGGTTAAAGGCTAGACAATCCTATGGAGCAGTTCTGCTGTACCTCATGGGGTCACTATGAGTTGCAAATCAGCTTGACAGCACACAACACCACTGTATACTAGGCTCTGTTCTGGTGGTTTTAAAGTTAGGCCAGTTCTTTGAGATACAGTGGACTGATTTTAGTTCTTAATGCTGTATAGATATGATATATAAGTATGGTTTAACTGGGCACTTACCGTATTTTTATGCAAATAACTTATATCTTCTATGTTTGTTTGCCAACTGCTCCCTCCCTCCCTCCTGTGAGGTATTTTTGTAAGTTCAGCTATGCCATTTTTTGTTTTGTTTACATGTTGCTGTAAAAAAGTTTTTTTTTTTTTTTTTTTTAAATTAGCATAGCATCTTTGGTATAATATCTGCCTTACCCTACAAGTATATGTTCTCTGTCCTTTGATCTCATAAAGCTCTGTAATATAAGGGTGGGAAGTGCCAGACATGGTTCTCACCATTTTACAAACGAGCAAAATGAAAACCAAGCTGGAGCATTTGCTCATAGCTGGACAATGGTGGGGCTGGGAGTGGAATCCAGATACCCTGTCTTCATGTGTCTGCTCAATTCTGACAAGAAGAACAGTACTTGTTTTGAAGCCTGGGGTCATCTAGATGGCATGTCAGTATGAATGAGGGTGATCTTAGGTATAGGGGCCACTAGGTTTGGAGTCACAAAACATGGCATCAAATCCTAGCTCTCCTGCTTCCTAGATATGGATAAAATTTTCCTCATCTTTAAAATGGGGAGTTTGAAGGATAACTTCAAACGTACTTCTGGTTTTAAAAATTCTCCATTCTGTGGCCATGATACCTAATCTTGTTCCAATGTTCATTTCTCATTCTACATTCATTTTGCCATTATCCCATCTGAATTTTAAGATGACTGATTTTTCTTCCTTTTAAAGTTGATATTTAAGACTTCCATTTTGCAATTTTCCCTCTCTACCCAATGACTCACACTTACCATTAAGGATGTTTGGACTGGAGCATTTAGTTCTTTTCTCCAGAATTACTTACGACCAAATATTCAAGAGTTTCTGTACTGTGATGACAAATGTGAAGACAGATTTAGTGATTAGCAAATGACAGATTCCATTTCCATGCCTCATCTTCCTCATGTTAAGAATAAGTAAAGAATTCAAATAGAAAAGAGGTTGATGCATAGAAAATTTCCTTGTGATGCTGTCTTTTAAACATTTGCAAAGTATGTCAGCAACTTCAAGAAAAGGCCTGGTGTTTCGATAGATGCTCTCATGTTGACTGGCATCTGTGCCCCTGGAGAATTTCTTGACTTGAGATTTCAGATTCCTAAAAGTACTCTTTTTCTTCTCCCATTCTTTCATTTGGAAACTGCCAAAGAAATCCACAAGCCTCATTTTCTTTTACAATCAATTATCAGAGTTATTGCCAATTGTTGTTGTTAAGTGCCGATGAATTGGTTCCAACCCATAGTGACCCTGTATAGCGTTTCTGAGGAGTAGCTGGTGAGCTTGAGCCACGACTTTGCAGTCCTGCGCATTAACCTGCAGGGCCACACCAGGACTCCATTGCTGATACAACACATGATTTAAGACTGTCCTTAGTTAGGTACTGAGTGATGGTCTCCTCTTAGTTTTAGTTTTTTTTTAAATTTTTTTTATAGGCAACAAACATTTATTTTTTTATTCTTCTTTACTTAGTTTTGAAACTATGAGATGCTTTTCCTACCCAACCAGACAAACACTGGTAGAAAAGTGGCTTCATTTGCTGGAGAGTTGACTTTGACTCATGGTAACCCTATGTGTGTTGGAATAGAACCGTGCTCCGCAAGGTTTTCAATGACTGATTTAAAAATATATATATATTGCTAGATTTTCTTCCATGGTGCCTCTGGGTGAACTCGAACCTCCAACCCTTCCATTAGCATTGGAGTATGTTAATTGTTTGCACAACTCATGGTAAAGTCATAGCTGGCATGAGATATGTTATTTCAGTGAGGGGTTGCTGTCTAGCCTTGCTCCCTTTGGCCTTTCCAGTTCCCATTTTTCTCAAATGTGATCACTCAGGAAGGAAGGGCCTGCTTTTCTCCAGGTGCCTTCCTCTAGTCCCTCCCTCCCTGCCCAATTAGACCTGCTGCACAGCTGCACTTCCTAATCGTCTGCACCGGAGAATCTCGACAGTGGCTTCCTCCCCAAGGGCCACGGAAAACATCTGGGCACATGGTCTGTAAACGACAAAAGAAAGAGTTTGGCAAGACAGGAACACAAGCTGGCCAATTTGGGGTAGCATGTGTTACTGATCAAAGCAAGAGGACATCTTAATTTGATATTGAGATCCCCTCTTTGCTCATTCCCCAATTAGAAAACCCAATATTCTGCTCTGAAGATAGACATTTTTCTTAGAAATCGGATATGTGGGCACTCTGTAAAAGGAAACTGCTTTCAATAGTAGCCTTGCTCAAGGGTCTGGTGGAATAGGGTAGCTGTAACAATAGGAATAATTCGGTTTCTGATTCTGCTGTTGAAAAGGTGAGTGCAGCCAGTGGGAACAGAAGGTGAGTGTGGTGACACCATCTCTGTGGAAAGTTTGTGTCGTCAAGGCTCTGAGAACTCATTTCAGTGCATTTCTTTTCATCTCACTTGATTTAATTTAAAAGCAAAACAAACAAAAAAACTCCTGTCATTAATTATTATCCAGATTCTGAAGTCTTTTCTAAGAAATATTTCTCCCAAGTGGCCTTCAATTCAATTTCATTAAATTGAGTCCCTGATTAATAACAAGTTTTGTATTAATTTGTAATTCAAATACCAAGAAATTCTGATCAACTATTTCACAGACCCAGTAGTCTTTAGAGAAACGAGACACAAATCCCCAAAACTCACTGCTTGGCAATTCATTCCACTGGGGATACTCGTCTTGAAGGGTCCTACATTTGTCAAACCAAGTGTGTAAGGACTACATCCATGGTAGGCTCCTCTGCAAAGAGAAAATAATGGGGATTGGGATGGGACTTAAGTTCATTTTCTTCAATCACTGTACTAAGGAAAACTGAATAGGACAAAAGGGAAAACACATGAAGACTATGGAGATGAGACAGAGCAGTATTAACATTCAATTCCAGTGGCTTTTAAGAAATCATGTCTTTGCCAGGTGAATTTACTTATTTATCTTTTTTATAGGTGTCAGAAATTAAAAATTCTCAACGGAATTATTTCAACTATCTGGCCAAGAACTCTGACCTTAGAACCTATCCTATTACTCTACAATAGTGAGACTAGTCGTTAGTAAAAATATCAGAAATTATATATTTGGTGACTGTTATTTTTCACAATGGAGTCCCTGGGTGTTGCAAATGGTTAATGTGCTTGGTTGCTTACTGAAAGGCTGGTGGCTCGTGTCCATCCAGCAGTGCCTTGGAAGAAACACTTGGCAATCTACTTCTGAAAGTTTACAGTTATTGAAAATTCTATAGTACGTAGTTCTACTCTGATACACACAGGGTTGGCATGAGTTGAAGTTGACTAGATGGCAACTGGTAGTCTTCCTTGAAAAGCCAGTTATTTGTTTCTGTGATAAGGCTATTGCTTTATAGTTTTAAGGATCCCTCCCTAAGTGCCTTGTAAAGCCACCTTATTTGCCATATAAGAAAAAGGTGTTTGTCTTTTCAATCTGAACCTAAACAATGAGGACCTAAGATGAGTAAGAGTATCCCAAAGGGTGGTCTTACATCTTGGAGACACAAACATGTGTTGAAGCCTAGTCCCACCACAACAGCTTCACAAAGATCAGTCCTCATCATGCAGGCACATATTCTGGGGTGCCTGCTTAGGCAAAACAGTCAAAATTCTTTATTGTCATACTTTGATAGCAGATGTTTCCTTAGTCTATAATAACTGGCAAGTGCATTTTATGTTGAATTTTGTATGGAATATAATGTGGTGAGGTAGAAATTAATCTCCCTTTCTTTGAAATAAGACAAAAATCATGACCTAAAACGGAAGGAAATTAGATGATTTCTTCTTTACATCAACTTTTATCCATGTTACTGCTGTCCTTTACATAACATTTATAAGTATTTAAATTTGCTGTATAAAATCACCCAAAGGAGGCAAAGTTTTTAGTTTTCTATTATTTATAATGCCAATATGGCCATCAGGGTTTAAGAGCTAATCTACTAAATTATTGATTCTCAGAAGTCATCCAAAGAAGTGTATGCATATGCAGGATTAGATATGCATCCTCTGAAGTTACAGAGGATAAACGGGGAAGCAATGGCCCAGTGGTACTCTGAGTACATGTCCTAAGCAGAGATTAAAATGGGTCTAGTGCCATGAGGGGTAGAGCCATGAGTTTCTTTGGGTATGTAGAAGTCAATTAGTGCTTGCTCTATGTTGTAGCCAATACTACATCTATAATGTAAAAGAAAAAGCCAACAAAAAACCTGCCATTTTTGTCAATTCCATTGGATGATCTATGACTTAATGAAGACTCCAAACTGTTGATGACACCAATCACAGACTCTATCTTGGATTAGGCCAATTTGCATAAGGCTATCCTGAAATATCATGTTTGGTAAGGTGGAGGGTCAGAGACAAAGAGGAAGAACCCCAACGAGATGGATTGGCCAAGAGGCAGCATCGTTGGACTCAAGTGTGGCAACAATAGTGAGGTTGGCTCAGCATCGGTCAGTGTTTTGTTGTGCTGTGCATAAGGTCACTATGGGTTAGTACTGACTCGATGGCACCTAATAACAACAACAATCCTGAAATAGGAGTCCTGGTGTGGTGCTGCAAGATAATGCACTGGACTGCAAGATTTGAACTGTGGGGTTGATGGTTCAAACTCACCAGCTGCTCCTTGGAAATACTATAAGGGATCACTATGAGTCAGAACCAAGTCAATGGCACTTAACAAAAACAACTTCCTGTCATAGAAGCCCTGGTAGCATAGTGGGTTATGAGTTGGGCTGCTAAACATAAGGTTAGCAGTTCAACTCTAGCAGTCGCTTTACTCAGCCACTCTGTGGGAGAAAGATGAGGCTTTCTGCGTCCATAAAGATTTGCAGTCTCAGAAGCCTTGTACAGGGTCTCTATGAGTCGGTACCAACTCCACTGTAACCCCCCACCAACCATCCTGTCATAACCACCACTAAAGCTTGTCATATTGTGGTGAGTTGTGTGTTGCCTTGATAATAGAAGCGATGCCACCTACGTTTTATATACCAGTAGAGTCACTCATGGTGGACAAGTTTCAGCAGAGTTTCCAAATTTAGACAGTGTAGGCAGAAGAAGAAGTGGACCACTTCTGATAGGGCTTTTATGGTGCTGGAAGGTGAGTCCCTAAGGTTGTAAAGCACTCAAAATACGACTGGGGAAGAGCATCCTCCTCAAAATAATGATGTGGCTGGACAAAAGCTTTTAGGATCTTAATTTTCTAATGGTCAAAAACTCAAAATTTGAAGAAACAGCTGCAAACATCCATTAATAATTAGAACATGGAATGTAGGAAGTATAAAAGTAGGAAAATTGAAAGTCATCAAAAGTGAAATGGAACAATAAAATTTGATATCCATGGCATTAATGCCACCACTTGTTGGCCAGTTTGTTGTACTGTGATGACGTGTGTGTTGCTGTGATGCTGGAAGTTATACCACCAGAACTTTAAATACCAGCAGAGTCACCCATGGTGGACAGGTTTCAGCGGAACATCCAGAATAAGACAAACTAGGAAAAAGGAAAGGCAGACTACTTTGGAATGTGTAGCCCCTGAGAACTTTATGACTATCAGAGGATCATTGTCAGATATAGTGCCAGAAGATGAAAACATTATAAATATTACCAAAATATTGTCAGATATGGTGCCAGAAGATGAGCCCCTTAGATTGGAAGGTACTCAAAATGCGATTGGGTAAGAGCTGCCTGTTGAAATAGAGTTGACTGTGATGACATGAATGGAGTAAAGCTTTCAGGAGTTTTATTTGCTGATGAGTAAAGCTTTCAAGACTTTCAATGAGGAGAAATAGCTGCAAACATCCATTAATTGGTACACAGAATGTACAAAGTATGAATCTAGGAAAATTGGAGGTTGTCAAAAATGAAATGGAACACTAAGATTGATATCCTAGTCGTTAGTAAGCTAATATGGACTGGCATTGGCCATTTTAATTTGACAATCATATGGCTTACTATGATAGGAATGGCAAACTCAAGAGGAATGGTGTCACGTTCATCATCAGAAGGAACATTCCAATATCTATTTTGAAGTACACTGCTGTCTGTGATTGAATAATATCCATACTTCTACAAGGAGTCCTGGTGTGGCACTGTAGGATAAGCACTTGATTGCAATGTTAGTTTGCACTGCATGGTCTGCAATTCAAATCCACCAGCTGCTCATTGGAAACCCTATGCAGGGTCACTATGAGTTAGAACTGATTTAATAGCATTTAACAACAACATCAAGGAAAACTAGTTAGTATCACTATTATTCAAATTTACGCAACAAGCACTAAAACCAATGATGAAGAAATTGAGTAATTTATCAACTTCTTCAGTTTGAAATTGATCAAACATGCAATCAAGATGCATTGATGAATACCTGTGATTAGAATGTGAAAGATAGGGAAAAAGAGGAAGGATCCACAGTATGAAAATATTGCCATCATAATAGAAATGGTGCTGGAGATCACATGATGGAATTTTTCAAGACCAATGACTTTTTCAAAAACATAAATGGCGACTATACACATGGACCACCACGCATATGTCAATTTGTTGTACTGTGGTGGCTTGTGCATTGTTGTGATTCTGGAAGCTTTGCCATGGCTGTTTTAAATAAAGCAGGGTCATCCACAGCAGGTAGGTTTCAGCTGAGCTTCCAGACAAAGAGACTAAGGAGAAAGAGGGATAGACTATTTCAGAATATGTAGCCACTAAAAATCTTATGAGTAACAGTGGAACACTGTCAGCACCAGAATATTGAATATGGAAATATGATGAAGAGCACCAGAATATTGTCAGATATAATGCCAGAGGAAGAGGAGCCCCTCAAGTTGGAAGGCTCTCAAAATGCAACTGAGAAAGAGCTGCCTTCTCAAAGTAGAGTTGACTGTGGTAATGTTAATGGGATAAAGCCTTTGGGACCTTCATTTGCTAATGGGGGACAACTCAAAATGAAGAGAGCAGCTGTAACATCCATTAACAAACAGAACATGGAATGTAAGAAGTACGAATCTAGGAAAATTGGAAATTGTCAAAAATGAAATGGAATGCATAGACATCAATATCCTAGGCATTAGTGAGCTTAAAAGGGCTGGTATTGGCCATTTTGAATCTGACAATCACATAGTTTACTATGCCTGGAATGATAAATTGAAGAGGAATGGAGTCACGTTCATCATCAAAAAGAACATTTCAATATCTGCCTTGAAGTACAACACTTTCTGTGATAGGATATTATCTATACAACTATAAGAAAGACCAGTTAATACCACTATTATTCACATCCACGCACAAATCATTAAAGTCAGTGCTGATGAAATTGAAGAATTCTACAAACTTCTTCAGTCTGAAATTGATCAAACATGCAATCAAGATGTATTGATCATTACTGGTGATTGGAATGCAAAGGTTGAAAACAAAGAAGAAGGATCTGTGGTTGGAAAATATGGCCTTGGTGGTAGAAACAATGTTGTAGATCACCTGATAGAAATTTGCAAGACCAATGAATTCTTCACTGTAAATACCTTTTTAAAACAACATAAGAGATGACATTAGTGGGACTTGATGGCAGATAGGGTAGAGGTGCAATGAAGTTCTCCATCAGCAATACCACAGAATACCAGGCGAACCAGGTTCAGGACAGAGCTTCAAAATTCTGAACCACATGTTGTTGTTGTTGTTAGGTGCCATCGAGTCAGTACCGACATATAGCAACTTTATGCACAGCAGAACAAAACACTGCCTGATCCTGGCCCA